CGACGCCGTACCTACGCCTTCGACGTGACGCAGTCGTTGAGCATTCGAAGTTCTGCGTCGAGGGAACGCGTTCCGTGAGTTTCCACATAGACTTGACTTGTTAATTTCCTGTACTTGCAAAGAAAGTTATGGGGCGTCTAAGTCTTTTTGTGACCAGGTGACTTTACTCACTCAACAGTGGTGGTGTCAGTTTGCACAGAGATGCAAAGAATACAGACAAAGAAACCCTTGAAACCAATTATCTGTCTGCAGAAAAGAAAATCTGAGTTCAGAGTGGGGTTCAAGATTGTCAGCCAAGAGGGATGTCAAGGAGGGAGGTCTGATGTGTGTTTGCTTTTCTGTGTACTGGTTTTCTCTGATAAGGGAGGGCAGAGGTGTTTGACCTCTCGTGACCTCTTCGGTGTTGGTGGCATTAAGCGGTTTGGATCAAGAAATACATTTGTCTCCTGCTGTGTGTGTCAGTCAGATAAGCCCTGACCTCACACATACCTGCACAAGGTTTCTGCCTGTCTGAACAATTCAGGTGAACTTTATGTGGCTGAGAACCTACATTGATATCACCTGCGTGGCTGACTCACTACCTCACAATGACAGAGCTTCCTTTTGCACCTTGTTTGGGATTTCATGAAAGCGTCAGTATGAAAAGCAGTGGCTTAGTAATTACTCTTGATGAAACACAAACCACACACAGAGCATGCTGGGAGGCTTTTTGAAATGGAACAGGAAAAATAACATGACAATAATATTTGAGAAAAAAAAAATACAAATACTTTCACAATAATAGTAATAATAATCAGTAAGTCTGTCTGCTTTTCTATTTACATATTTGTCATAGGGGAAAGCAAAGAAACACTGCTTTTATTGTTCAATCAATATTTTGTTACTTTAAATTAAGTTAAATTATGATATTAAGTGTTATGTTGTTTCTCCATAATCTGTGTCTTACAAGGTCCAATTAAAAGGTTCGGGTCTAAGTACCTCGTTAAGAAGTAATCAGAGGGTAATTGTAAAGGAAGTGGAAAAAAATACTAATTGACCTCTAAAGGCTACAACAGTAACACACACACTCTTAACATACCAAGTCTCTTAGTCTGTTTTTATCTCTCATCTCATCTTCTCTTCTGAAAGACACATATCTCAGGACTAGCGGCTTTCACAAAAAGAAGACAGTTTGTTTACATTTCACACATAGACACCGCAGCACACCCCTACTCAGTCCCACACACAGCCACGTTCACTCATACACTGGTTGTGTTTTTTGGCTTGTCCAAAGCCCTGGAATCGCTCCCAGACATCAAACTACGCCCCAGCCGTGAGTGCAGCAGCCAAGTGGATGAGGCCACTGGATGTGTACTGGTATTGATTTCACCGGACTAGCATCACTGTTGTGAGTATTTAAGTAAGAGAAGCCAGAAACTGAGTAATGCGCACACGCACGCACGCACGCACGCACGCACGCACACACACACACACACACACACACACACACACACACACACAAGGGTAGCCAGACAGTTTATGGAAACAAGATCTTATGACATGATACCCTGCGTGTGGCAAGCTTGTCTATGTGTATGGGTCTGTGCATATGTGTGTGTGTGTGTGTGTGTGTGTGTGTGTGTGTGTACACACACACAGTTTGAGTCTCCCAAGAACCAATTACCACAGTGCATTAAGATTTTTGCCGGACCAGTGTCACTGAGTTTAAATTTCAATTGAACACTAAAAAACAACTGCAGACATGGAGAGAGACCTCTACTCCACACTGAACAATGAGTGTAAACACACACACACACACGCAGAGCAGAGAGATAAGCATCTGAGTCAGTGTTAAAGCAGCATCACTCCTCAATGCAAGGCCCCTTCAGAGGGAACTTAAAAGGGAGGATTTGAAGAAATGGTGAAGCCTCAAATGTAGAAGACAAAAAGACCACACACTGTGCCCAATCAGAAGCTTTCAATGGAAAAAACAAAATATGTGTGTGTATATATATATATATATATATGAAGATGAAGTGTATACAGCTATCTCAAAGCAGCTTAATGTTCCTGTGATCATTATTGCAAATATCATTAAACAGGGTAAGGCTCATGGGGCTGTAGCTTGCCTGATGTGGTTGCATGATGTAAAGTGACCCATGACTGAAAAGTGGGACATTTAAAATGAATGGTGAAAAAAACACATTAAAACAGATAAAAGCTGACCTCAAGGTATTGCTTATAATGCCTAACGACAAGTCATAATGCTTCTGGAAGAATGTGCCGTGCTGTGGACAGATGAAACCAGAGCTTATTAGTAAGTGGTGTCAGCTCTGAGATCAGAGAAGAAAAATTAAGCTTTTAAAGAGAAGCATTAAACTGTAGGCATCGGTAAAAGAATGAGGAGAAAACTTTGGATCATTCGGAAGTGGCCTACTAGCCTACTATGAATCCCAATCGTAATCCAATTGAAACTCTGTGGAAAGAGCTGAGACACTAAAACTGAAAAGAGCTGACAAGGCAAGTGTAACACCTGAAAAACTGTGCAGAACTTCCAGTAAGAGAAGTGTACGGTGCAGTAAGAGCTTCAGCGGCTGGTGTTTAGGTTGGGTTTCTAAACAGAGCCAGTATGACAAATAAAAGGGGGTTGAGTGAGAAGTCGAAAGAGAGAGAGGTGGTGCGAGAGAATGACAGACGTGTTAACTTTGTCATCTATTTTTACACTTAGTCCTGAAATAAGTTAGTTTGAGTCATATTAAGTAAACTTCACTCTTTTTATTTTTGGTTCAATCAAAACAAGATTCTATCAAAATGAATCCATTTCAAAGGGTTGGCTCTCAAAGTTTACCATGGTAATAGAAAGAGATTTGATATAAATGGTGGGTTAAGAGCAGGGTCTCCTCAAGCACAACAAACTTCACAGTGGACTCTGCATTTCCTTGGTTACTAGAATATACACCTGCCAGGTTTGTTGCATTCAGATATGCGTTTGTCGAGAACTCAAAGCACAGATGGACAGAAAGGAAGGAAAACTGACCCATGTAAAGCAGTTGCAAGAAATCTATTGATTGCAGCAGAACATGCATCTCATCTGTTTAGAGTAAACCAAGCTAACAAAATTATTTTAATCTGCATCATGTATGTACACATGGGAAACAGACCAACATAACTCTTTAGAGAAGAAAAGTAAACGTTCATGATCATCTGGATCAGGATGGAGAGAATCCATCATGTAATAGATTTCATTTCATAAAAATAAGAGGTTATCATGTGGAAAAAGCAATAACATGCTAAATATACTGTACCATTGCATACATAAACATCTTTCTGATAAATCATATAATATTATGACAAGATGTAAGGCAGAAATCCCAAACTCATTTTCATCTGAATCCTTTGATGGTGCATTATCGTAGAATCATTTCTATATTTATCCACCATCTCCGACGTGCGCTGCCAAGTAATCATGCTCAAATTCGATGACAGATTATCTTTCATAAAGTAAAAGATTACGTTTGCATCATTTCTCATATTTTGCAAGGGGTCAGAGGTCAAATCCATGCATTATGTGCATGTTTTAGACCCGTGGATTTTTATGGGAGGGGGGTTTATATTTAATCCATGTCAGGACTGCACATGTTTAGCTTTAAAATCCATGTATGTTGGTCACCGTGCATAGTTTGAGGAACATAGATTAATCATGAAGAGATTCTTTGCTCAGAACGCTATCACTTGTCTATACAACCTCCAACTTAGGAGTGAATATGAGGAGCTTCAGCACAAAAATTATCAGACAGGAAATTTAGAAATGCGCGCATCACTGCAGACAAAAATTAACCAAATGGGTTTCTTTTTTGGAAAGATTTAAATATACTGTAGGGCTGTTGGACAAGTTATGTAATCTGAGTTTGCTTCAACACCATGTACCACCGATAACACAGACTACTACAACAATGCAGGACACCTTTAGGGGGTCTGGGACACATACCCCCTCCGGCAGTGAGCCTTGGCTGGCACCTAGCAGCTGACTTAGAACTGGTGCAGACCAGGGGAATCTGACTGTTAAATAAATGTTCACATTCTTTTTTCAACAGTGTGAATGTTAATGTGTCCTGGGCCACACTCAAGGACTGACATCTCAACTAACAACCTGTGGCTTGCTGCAGTTTCAAGTATTTTTATTCTCCTGAGTATTTTTTTCCATTTCAAATGAGTAAAATCTTATTCAGTTGTAGAGCCGGGCACAGCTAATCGATCCGCTCAGCCCCTTCCTAACCCATTCTCACTGTCGCTCTTTATTATACTGAGCGGGGAAGTGAGATCCAATCACAAGTGGTTGAGACACGTGGAGACGCATACTAATGCCAGGTGTGCACAGACATACTTACATACAGTAATTACTGTGGCCACTTTCTCCTGGGAACAGTCAAAGCTTTAGAAATGGTTTCATACTTTGCCTTTATCTATGTTTCGGCATGAAGAGTTATGGCTGAGGTCTACAGAGAAGCTCCATGGGCTTTGAGGTTTAGTTTTAGTCCTGACATGCAGTTTGGTAAGTTGCAGCAGTTGAAGCAGTAAGCTGCGGGACCTTATTGAGAAACTAATGCGTTCTAATCTATGTATAGTCAATCCAGTTTTCTATATGTGGACTCCAATCAAATCCATCGAAAAGACAATGGAAGCAAACAGGACAGACCTGACCACAGTTTACAGTGCTAAGGGGTCTGAATACTGAATTCAATGTCAATAAGAGGTTTACGTTTTTCATTTATTGATATAGGCTGGGTGTGTGTTGATGGGTAAACAGCAATTTTAACCATTTAAAATTACTGTACAATTCAGTTAGGGAAGAAGTGGAGCCATAGTCAGTCTATTACAACCACTAAAACATGATGTAAAAACATGATGAGTCAGAGGGAGAGACTTAAAAGTATTAACTAATGAGCGTATAATGAGGGTGGGCTCGTGTCCTCATGACACTAACATGCAACAGACCTGGATGAGACCACATTCAGCCTTACCTCTCTTTGAGGAAGTCCACTACTCTTTTGAAGTCGTCGATGCAATACTCCCTCTTCATGTCCATCAGTACGCTGTCTGAGGCCGACTGCACGGGAATATGAAGGAAGGCATAGACACGTGGATGATTCAATATCTTAGCCATCTCCTAATGAGACACAGAAGAGAGGGAGAGAGGACGAAAAGGGTTAGAGTTTCATATATGGAGAAATTACCTATATATTCATATGTTTAACTCAACGTTAGATATGTCACCATGAGTCCCAAAAATAAAAAATCATTAACACCACAACACTGAGGGGCTGAGAGCATGGGGAAAAAAATATACATTTTTATGTATATGTACCAAACACTCACTTTAGAAAAGTCTGTAATTTTCGTAAAGTCACTTAAAAACTACTCTTACAATCAGCGTTAATTAATTATTATAGTCTACCAATAGTGGTGGGTATACTTAGGATGAAATAACAGATGTTCTCAATAAGTGGTGCAGCCATGGGAGTCATGGGTTTGAGGTCAAAAACCTCAACTTTAATTACTTAATCATAAGGTTAGTCAATGCAAAAGGATCCAATGTTTAATAGCTTTGAATAAAATGAAGGTTCAATTAACATTCCTGCCTCTTTCTATGCTCTTTACACCTCAGACCTTCCACAATACACGGCCTCTCTTTAACTTCTATTCCTTTTTTTTTATATATATTGGAAAAGTAAAAGCAAAACAGCTCAGACAATTCAGCGCGGACCCTTAATACTGGAAGGAATGTCTACAGAGTCAAGGCTGCTTCAGTATGAGTCCTTTATGTCTAAAAAACAGTAAAGAGCTTTTAGAGAGGCAGGTGGGTTCATAGCTCAGATCAAAATGGTAAGGGTTAAATATGCTGTACATACAGAGTGTATAATTAACTCGGGAAGTATTTCAGGCTAGTAGGTGTCTTTCTGTTGAAGGATTTGATGAATGGGGACCAGTACACACTGGCCATGATGCTCAAAGTTTCTATACAAAACACTGAAAGTAGGTTTTAAGTATAGTGTCGTGCTGCTGTTGATTAAAAACATGTGAAACTTTACTTGTGGAAATATTAACTTAAGGAGAAAGGCCACCACCAGCTATTCTTTAGACTTAGATGCTCAATGGATTCCAGCAGATGTGATTTTTACATTTGTCTTTTTTCGTCCAGTTTCAGCGATTCACAATACACGATTTCATAGGAAGGATGTGGCTGTCACTAGTTGAGTAATTCCTATACATTATTTTTATTAAATACAATACCTACAATAGCATCAGTTAAATGGTTAAAACTGCATCATAGTGAGGAACACAGCCAAATAATATATATTTTGAGATCTATCTAATGAAACTTGATGTCGCAGTTTCACGTCAACAGTAATGTGCACCCTTTTCATCAATGTATATCTCTCCTGCAGGAATAAAAATGGTTAAAAATGGTTAAAACAGGATTTTCCAGTAGCTACACTGAACTTTTTGGGCTTTTGCTTTCCCAGTTTTACCAGAAACTGACATTCTGTCCTTTTTAATAAAACACATTAATCATAGAGCTGGCAGTTTTTTTTGTGTCTTTCTTTCATTCTCACTTTAATTTCCTCAGCAAAAGAAGTGGAGAGAGTACAGATGTCAGATTTTTCTGATGGACATAATCAGGAAGCTATCATTACCATGCTAATCACCACGAGAAGGAGAGAGAGAAAAAGAGAGGGGAGGAAGAAATGATTTAATGATTTCCTACAAGAATGCGCTGATTGCAGTCCGTCTTCTCAATTAAGATCTATTGTGGAATGTTCCCCACTTCATACACAGACACAAAAGCATATGAGCGCATGCACGCACACACATCCACAGACACACACTCAGACAGACACACACACAGACACAGCTCAGTTGCAGCACCACAGGGGGTTGACCACTGGAAGCCCCAAATTAGAAAGATTTAATTTGGTCGGAAAATGGAGCTTGATTGGTGACAGAAATCAGCCTGATACATTTGTGTGTGTGTGTGTGTGTGTGTGTGTGTGTGTGCGTGTGTAAAAGAGAAAGAGAGAGAGGTTGAGTGACAGAAAAACAGGTACACGTATTGTTAAAGTTACTACTCTGATAATTATGTTCTACTTTTCTCAGTACTCGTGCAGGGCCTGATCTACAAATGCCTGTTTGTGCTGTTTTCTTGGCCTGTGGTGATGCTGGTTAGTTTCCTTTCTGAAACTGTAAAGGGGACCTGCAGTGATTGAGCTGCTGCAAGCAAAGGCTGGCTGCAGGACTCAGTCCACAGAACCCTGAAGCTGCACCGCCACTGAGTTGTTCACCTGTTCATTCAAAGTTCAGTAAAGCTTGACGCAGTACACAGAACCCCGAGGTGGAAAATCAGATGGAATGCAGTGGTCGCTAACATGCCTGTTGTCGTGATCATCACAAGTTGATGAGTCCAAGCCGCCGCTGTTGCAGAGCACTGGTCATCTGCTTAATCAAAAATGTATTACTACTGAACATAAAATTTGACACTGCACCTCCTTGGGCCCTGAACAATAGAAAAGTGTGAAGCCGATATGATTCTCAAGATATACGAGCCACATAGTCAAGAGTCGGATGTGTTCATAGGTATATTTTAAAAGTCTAGTGTGAACCTGATTAGAGTCAACAACCATTTGATTGCACAAACAATTCTTGTGGAATTCTTGAAGTGCAGCTCGCTTTACATTCTCGAGTGAACAAGTATTTATATAATAATATATAATATAATATATAATATAATATATAAGTGAGAAGGTAAAGTGTAATTAATAACATTCAACGTTCATTTGATTCAAGCATACAGAAATGACAAGGTCTTTAGGATAAAGTCCTTTCAAAGTGACCAGTCTCTTTATAACCAGCTGACAAGACACAGGCATTTTTCAAGGTAAAGATTTGTTACTGTACATGTGTGTCTTACTGTGTGTGTGTGTGTGTGTGAGTGTGTGTGTGTGTTATAGTGTACATTTATCACACAACACACAATGAGTCATATGATGCTCCAGTGTCTTTAGGTCCACTGACAATGACTACTGACCACAATCTATCCCACAGATCATGTGTGTATGTGTGTGCTCATGCTTACAGTACATGTATGTGTTTTTGCGAGGGTGGGGTCTCAACAGATGGTAGTTTGAGTAGCAGGACACTGCTGATGACAACTGGGGATTAATCTATAAGGGGAGGATTTCTCATTCACACAAGCCATTTATCATGAGTGTGTGTCCCGTCCTCCCATGATTAAACAGCACACTGATGTGAATCTCTCTCGTTACCGATCCCGGCAGAGTTGAGGCCTTTTTCATGTTTGTCTGCCGCCGACAGACAGTTTAGTGAGTCTGAAGTGAAAATGATTGTGTGGTGACAAAGATATCGCTCAGCGATGCCCAGTGGCAAAAAATTGTGTACTGCTTTTATGTCTTCGCTCCTGTGTGAACTATCCATCTGAACACAAGAGGCTTAAACAACCAAATAAAAATTGATGAGAGTGTTTTATTTTTTACTTATTTCTTCATACTTTGTTTTACTTTTTTATTTATCAGTCCTGACAGTGCTTACAGCAGCGTAATATTCTCTCTCACTCTCTGTGCCACGCTCTCCCTCCCCCTCTGGGCCTATCTCTCTCTCATTCACACAAACAGACACACAACCCTTTCATCTTTGCTTGATCAGCTCAGAGAGACACATAAACCAGAAACATAACTGGCTTAACTCAAAGGATCTGATATCCAACCCTGACAATCAGATAGGACTGAAAAGAACATAAATGGGGGGAAAAGGAGAGAGGAAGTAGATAAATGGTGGTTTGGCTCTGAGCAGCCTCAATGAGGGAAGACTTTCACACCATCTCTCCGTTCTTCACAAAAACAAAAAGTGTGAGTCCCTGCGAGCCCAGTCCTGTGCCCAGTCCTGGAAATTTCTTTGGAATATTCTTTACAAGAATTTGTCTCTGGCTCACTCTTTTTTTTATTGCACTACCTGTTCATCGGTCCCTATGAGCTTGTTTTTGGAACAGAGAACATTGATTCTCTGAGTGAGTTTCATAGCCTCCTTGAACTCGTGTTACAAGTGGAATCAAAACATTTTGTGTGTGAAACTGATGGACTCATAACTGCAGATTTGTTAGGATCATGTTGTCACTTTTCAGTCATGAACTCTGGAAATAGTCTAAACAATGAGGTCTGGACATTTTCTGGAATTTGCCTTTTTCTCTTAATTGAAACGCATCAGAAAATTGTCCAGGTCAGACGCTTTCACAGCAACAGGAACATGTCTGGAACACTCAGGTGACAGGTGGCGCCTTAGTAGTGCATACAGGAGGCGGGACATGACGTATAAATTCTGCTGTGGAAATCACATGTTCATCAACATCGACACCGGCCCATAATCGCCAAAAGCTCTCTTATCTTGTTGTCTTTCAAAGGTGAAATCTTTGTTGGAATATTCTACTTGTATGGCAGATCTTACTCATCCTGAGATTTGTTCAGCTTTATGTACACTTGCTCTTCTGTGAAGTTTTCGGCAATTCACCTGCTGTATTGTCACATGGGCTCAGTCTGGCATTATCCAGACATTTTACTTAGGGTACCTGGAGGAGAAGTTCTGGAAAATGTCCAGAGCAACTGATTTGGATATTTGCATTTTCAAATACAGCCCCTCTATAAATGCTACAAAGCAATATCTCTATGAGTAATACAAGTTGGGAATCCATGTTTGACTTGCCATTTGCAACTTCACGTTAATGCATGCCATACATTAATTTATATTAACATTAATCTAATTGCTATAGTAGTGTGCTGTGTCGATATTAGCATATGGTACATGCATAATCATATTTAGCATTGGAATAAGGACACATTGGTGACTTTAATGTAACACCACACAAAACAGCAGCTGGATTCCCCAAAGTACCAACACACAGACAGAAAGGGTTAGAGTCTGGTTCAAGTGAAATTACTGAAGCAAACACAGAGTAAGTATCAACCTGACTGCATCCGCACAAACCCACACACATCAGAGTATTAACAGAGTTCACCCAGGGGAGTCTGCAGAGGAAGAGATCCTACAAGCCGTTCCCAGGATAGTACGTCAGGTCCCCATGTGTGTGCACTGGCACACACGCAAACACAGTTGGTGGGAGCAACATTCAGCAGCAGCAAGAGAAAGTGAGCTCCCCACGGTATTAAACATTTCAAACACTCAAGGCTGCACCAGAGTTTCCCTGGAGGGCAAACCAGGCCTGAAGCACCTCACACAGAGCACATTTACGCACAGTAAAAGGGAAATTAAGTGTATGTAGCACCCTATTGTGCTATGTGTATCGTTTGACTGTTAAGGCTGTCGCTTGACTGTGTTGTGGCATTTTCCTCGTTATGACTGGAACGAAAATAAACCCAAACTGACAACGCACTAAACAACTATAAGGAATTTTTATGCAGCGAACTGAAACTAATTCAGTTCACTCTCTTCCATTATTCTTTAAACCTTTGAAAAACTGAGAAAAAAAAAACTATATAAAAAGCCCAACCAAAGATCACTGCTGGAATTTCCAATTGCAAATGGGCAGCTAGTATTTAAATCTCTACCCTTCACAAGTCAAAATGCAACGCAATGATTGGGAAAACATAATTCACTGCATTAAGTCAGGAGCCATGATTTAGAGTCACATTTGGAGCCGGGTCCCTCACACAATGCTACATTAGGCCTCTAATGTGAAGAGGCTCCCAAAGGCTTCATTAAAATGAAAAAGGTCTGAGAGGGTGTGTCTAAGTGTGGGTGCCCGTACAGCTGTGAACGTCTGACTGTGAAGGTGAGTGATCTGTGCAGGTATGTGTGTGTGTGTGTGTGTAATTATGTGTGTGAACGGGAGTGTCCCTGTAAGAAAAATATCAGCCGATTCAGAAGATGAGTTTTCACTTCATTATGGGTATATGGTAGTTTGTCAACCTTTCTGAGGCCCAGTGCGGCTGCAGGGAACTGCGAATGGCATGAAGAAGAAAATTGGTAATTTAATAGTAAAATTATAGGTTATGTTTAGTCCCATGTCATTTCACTTACTGCCAGCACAGCCATCAGGGGCAGTTTGTGGTTCAGTATTTTGTATTTTAGAATGGGGGAGAATGGGATCGAACCGCAGAGCCTATAGTGGATGACCCGCTTTCCCTCCTGAGACACAGCTGCCCCAAACAAACAAGTGCATTAACTTGTTTCTTTCCTTTTATCTATATTTATTCTTCATTCTAATGGATGCATTTATTCACAAAAGATTCAAAACACTTTATAGCAATTATGTTTTCTCTTGGATGCAAACCACCTCTCTAAAACAAAAGATCTGTGTACAGTCTTGTCTTGATTTCTACTTATAAAAACCTTGATTAGAGTAAAGTGAAGTAAAGTGGAGTGAGATGTAAAGGGAAATGACTTGTTCATGACGTTATCATCACAGCACTGTTTCACAGAGCTGACTGTGTAGGTGTGAAAGACATATCTGATGTCTCGCTGCTAAAACTGAGATCCGCTCTGAGGGAGGAGGTTTAATAGACAACTGCTATTTCATTCATCTCAGCCTGACTGACTCCTACTTTCACACCTCATTTACTGAGCCAGCTAGCATGCTAGATTCATCCGCATACACAGGCTCGCACGAGCGCGTGCACTGGTATCTATGCACACGCACGTCTTATATAATCAGCTGACCTACTGACAGCCACTTAGTTATTTATTAACAGGCAGATGGACACATGGATAGCCGGCTACAAAAAGTGCTGAGCTCAAAACTGCAGTAATAAGTGCGATGAGGATAAAATGTCACTGAAGTGAGGAAAAAAAGTCGTCACATTGTTATATGCAGCCACTCAAAAAGGAACCAGTGAAGGCACGATGTAATCAACAAAAATGTCAGAGACAAGTGGCCCATGAGAGGCGATTGGGCCTTTAACTGCTCCAATCAGCAAATGGTGCTGTGAAGCTGTCTGCATCTGTCAGGGGGGGAAAAACAGGGGGCACAAAGGAAGAAATTGCGTGTTCTTGTGTGGCAGAGATAGAGATAGACAGTGATTTCAGTGAGTACGTGAGAGAGGATCATCTTTTAGGGGGAAGTGGAGAGGTTACTTGGCCTTTTCAGCTTCAATTAAAGCCATTTGGTTTCATGCTGTTATATAAGCGCCGGTGTCCTTCAAAGGAAAAGACAGTGGGATGTAATTTGGCCTTTACTGAAGATGAAGGCTAAATCTACTTCCTAAGATTTGGCTTTCATCATCATCATCATCCCTCCGCTCATATCACTGTGATTATAACCATCATGAGAAAAATTGGAGAAAAGAGGCAAAAGAAGAAGTAAAGGAGTAAGTTGAATCAGATTATTGTCATTGAATAAAACAAAAATAAAAATGAAAAATGAGAAAATCAAAGTCATGAAGTGTATTGAAATGGCTGATATGTACAATTACAGCCAAATGTTTAAGCTATCAGCTGTTTTTAATTCATATCTTTATGTGCTCAAGTTTTTTGTAAAAAAAGGGAATTTTGTCAGCTCTTCAGAAAACTCTCAAGTTTAAGGTGGTCACTTTTAAACGTTTTTGTTTTCGAGTCTGTTTTTATTCAGTGTCTTACGTGTTAATGTGTTAAAACTGAATAAAAACCTAACCAACAACAAGTAAACACTTGTGTAACCAATTTTCTTGCAAGTTTTTTCTGTTGGGCCTTATAACCACCGTCCGAGTAAGATTGTGGGGGAGGAGAGGGATGACGTGAAGAGGGGCTCATAGGGAAGCGGAGAAAGGGTAAATGGAGCACAGGAGCAACAAAAGACAATGATAAGCTAAAGACGAGCACTCTTATCTTTCCTTATGTAGGTTAATTGACTGAGGTTTCAAACCAAGAAGATATAATTCAATTCAAAGTATGGACGTTAACAATAAAAGGGCCAGTAGCATATGAAATGATTCTTAACACACACACACACACACACACACACACAGAACAAGACAGTGTCGCGTCCTAGTATATTTCTAATTATCAGTTAATTGTTATTCCCTATCATTAGGAGGGTGGTTTTTTAATTGTAATGTAGCCAAGCAGAAAGCCTACCTATACATGTGGGGGACAATTAGCCACCTCCATTAACCCCTGGTTAATTACAACCTCCATTGCTGCTTCCCACAGCACTTTTCTCACTCCTTTTTACCCCTCATCTCTATCCCCGGGCCTTCAGCCCCCTTTTTCCTCATTTCTACCCTAATTTCATCTGAGATCTACAGTCTTCCTTGATTGTTTGATTCAGAGGTGTGTCTGTTGTGAACTTAACTGGCTTTTTTAACTATATATATAACAAAAAAAAGTTTTGTTTCATTTTTCTAGGTTGTCATTACCCCAGTTCAGCCCTCCTATGTCCTCCATTTTCTTCCTCTATACTTCCACATTGTCCTCAGGGATGATACTGAGGCTTTGCCGGAATGCAAAACATTTACATTTGATAAAATCAGAATAATCCCTCACTGTGTCTCCATCATGTTAACCAAAAGTCTGTCCATCCTGTTTTACTTTTCTTGGAGTGTTCCTTCTTATCCTCTTAAAAAAATCTGTATATATTAAAATCTTAAGCTGCTTTTAGACATGCACTGAACTCCGGATATTGTAAGTACATTCTCCGGAGTGGCTTCATGTGTGAACTCAAATGTCAGAGTGAGAGGCTCTGGACTTTCTCTGCAGTTTCTAGGACCAGCCCCCGAATAAACCTAACCCTGGATAATCAATGTATGAGCCCTGACCAGAGAATCTCCTGCTGCGTTGTCCATGTGTGAAAGGCAAACAACGGAGAAAGTCTGGACCCAACTGTGTGAAAATCCTCCAGAGTTCATGTCTGAAAATGGCTTTTTGGACATTTTCACGTTTAGCGGGCCTAAACATCACAACACTTTATTCAGTATTTTGTTCTCACAATCATTTTAGAGCATTCACGGAAAAACACAAATTGCATAACTGCAGGGAGAAACCCCTTTTCTTGGCACTAGGAATCTTGCTGTCTGTGTTTTATTAATTTTTACACAACAATGAAATTTAGACTGACCACAGAATTAAAATGTGTTAATGTGTTAATTTATCCACATAATAAGCCACAAAATATGAACAATGGAGAAAGTGTCTCAACTGATAACTCCTCCAAAACATCCTTCTTCCATTTAGCTCCTTTCTAACTTGGTTTATTGTCTGAAAGCAGGGACGAGATATGTCTTTTGTGCGCGGGTGTTGGGAAGTGGTGATAACATGGTACTATGTTGTTACTCTAACACTTTAAGAAACAAAGATTGTTTTAAAATTAAGATAGATTGACAGAGAAAAGAAGGCAATAAGATTCAAATGATAGAATGGGCATGTGTGACGGACGGGGCAGACATGCAACAACAGACAGAGAGGGGGACTGAGAGCCATAGAAGGGATAACAATGTCCATTGTTCCATTAGGGAGGACATTAATGACTGATAAAATGAGGTTGCTAAAGAGGACACACAATAGTCCTTAATTGACTCATTACGAAAAAGAGGAGAATGGACTGCACTAATGAATGGAGTATGAGCGCTGCAGCTCAACTGCTTGGTAAGCAAAACAGAAAGGCATTCAGTTTATTAAATCTAACAGAGTGATTTTATTTGTTCACTGAAAAGGATAGCACAGGAGATTATCAGACAGAAACAAAGCAGAGGGAAATAGAAAAAATCTGTAGTTTACAAGTATTAGAGTTTTGTTATGCACAATTATGTTTAGGGTTACTTTAGAGAAATTGGCAGCACGTGTGTGTGTAAGTGTGTGTGTGTGTGTGTAAGTGTGTGTGTGTGTGTGTTTCTATACTGTACATACCTCTAGGTGTTCCAGGATATAAGGTGGGTTGGTCATACCCAGCCTCAGCATGGCTCCTTCAGGAATCTCCTCCACCAGTCTCCACAACAATGTGGGCAGATCTGTTCCTATGTCTCGGCCATAAGCTCCTGTGTCTTCACTGGTCAACCAGATCTCACACACTCCCTCTTCAAAACAAAACAAGACAGAAAGATAAACCAGCTTTAATAACTCATTTAGATGATTTTTGTTTCAGTCATGGCTTATCACAGTTATAGTGTATTGTTTTCTGTCAATACACTGCAGCTTTGCAAATCTCAGTATAGATATCGTCAGGTTAAGATTTTTGAGGGAGTATGCTTCAAAAAACTGTTTATTTCAGATGGACAACATGATTAAAATAGTAATTTTGAACAAAAAGTATATCTAAAAACATCATAGGCCACAGTGATGGTCTCTGAAAGTTCCTGATCCTGACTGTTATCATGTGATGAGACTAGTTTGATTGGAGGACTCCAAATTCTGGTTTGAAACAACCGTCATAATGTTGAAAACTGCTTTACAATGAATGCCAAAATTCAAGGAGAGCTGGCGTAAAGTGGTGACCTACGCAGAATTTACAAAAAGTAGTAAACTATTTAAATGAAATATGTATATCCTTAAAAAGGGAGTTCGACCTGAAAAAACAGCCAGACCCCTTAGTCTCATAAAAGAGGTTAGAGCAGAGTGCAGACAAAAGGGTTTAATGAATGATAACGACTGCTGCTGGAAAATAATTGAATCTTCAATTCGATCGAGCTTTATGAGTAGAAGCATTTTTACTTCAACATACCTGCAAATAAAGCGCAGGCTTTTTCCTATTTTACTTTTCTTTAAGCTATTATTTGCAGCTGAGGGGCTGCCCTGGAGCAGTGTAATGAACTTAGTGAACTCCATATACATATCTATACACACATGTCATTGTATTATCATATTCATGTGCATAACTATTATATATACACCCTTCAATGCACAAGAGGATATTTTTAAATGTGACTGTGCAGCTACTGTTACACTTGAAGGAAAGCTCACATTTACAATCCATTGACTGGATTCAACCTAACCTTACCTCATACACTGTTAGGAATGAATTCAACCTGGGGAAGTTATTTGATTCTGCATTATGTTATTAACTGACTGAATTTCCCTTGCTTTTATCTCATCCAATTTAAATCCCACTTTCCATTCTTGCTTTCTTATATATTTGATTTAATATAATAATCAATCATTTATATTGTTTTTTAATGTTTTAAACCCTTCAAATCTTTTTTTGAATTACCAAATTATAAATCATAAACGTATCAATATTGGGACACTAATAGTGCCACATTTTTTCCCTTAATTGCAGAGCTCTGGTTGCAAAACTACCCTAACACCACAGCAGCTTCTCTCAAATACGATCTCATCAGTCATCACCTTTAGCATGTTCTGGGTGTCACTCCCTAAATGCTCCTGGACTTTGGTGGAGCCCAGCTCATGACAGTCACTGACAAGTATTAAAAATACCCATCTTCTAATCATACCTTCCAGGAATGTGAAGGTCATATACAGCACGAGGGGACGATACACTGCCTTCATGCTAAATTAGAGCAACGCTCACTGCAAGAGCTTAATGATCTAAGTGTCATTTGGCTGTAGGTCTGGAAATTGTTGAGTGTCTACTTTGGTTTAAGACACATCATATCATGAAGGCACGCAGAGATACATTTGCACTTGCAAGAGCAATACCGCAAATACAGACACACACACACACACACACACACACACACAAAATGTCCAATTAGGCAAACACCATCTTTACTCTTTGAATGACCACATGCATCTTACTGTCTGCCTCTGCACAGCTAATGATGATGATGGTTGCTCTGTGTGTGTGTGTGTGTGTGTGTGTGTGTGTGTGTGTGTGTGTATATTCAAAGATGTGTATGGGCCAGATAGATTAAAGATGATGACAGTATAATTGACCAGAGTATGAGAGTCTCCAAAGCTCATCATCATTGACATTAAGATGCACTAATGATATCTGGAGCCGGCCATGTCCAAAAGATGTATTAACCAAATGTGATCAGATCTAAAGGAAAAAGTCTATAATCACACTATATAACAAAGCATTCAGGGTATGATGTTCATTTGTCTCAGTATGCAATTATTTCATCTTGGACCAATACTCAATAATAGCCTTGTTTATTATGGTCTTCATCATTTAGAAACCAATTCGATTTAATTCACTTGGAACATAAGTTTTTGTCTTATTTTGTCAGCCTACATATTTGAGCCACACTGATTGGTCCATATGAATCTTTCACAGACATATCAGTATTTACATGTATGTTTGCCAAAATGTGCCAAATGAAAAGTTCAATTTTCCAAAATATACACTAGAAAATATGTACATTTGTTTTCTCAACTCTTTTTTATTTTGTTTAGTTGTATTTTTCTATGAATGGTTACTCCTTTAACAAAGTTTGTGGTTAGAGTGTAAAATATCAAGCCTCAACTTCGTTTTCTTGTCATAACATTTTGATAATGACATCGTTGGGATCATTGCCAATGTGTTTATTTTATTTTTTTATATTTCTATCATCCACTTCACCCTTAAATCAGGATATGCATTGGCCCCAAAATACCTTGGTATATACATAAGAAGTACCTATACTTTTGGCCACTGAACACTTTGAAATAGGGGTTTCCACTGCAGTGGTGAAAGTAACAGCCAGCTGGTTGGTTTGCTGCCTCACAATTTTTATTTAATTAGCGTTGGTAACAAACAGGATCCCATTTACATTTTCTGACCTAGACATTTTCTGTAATTATGGTACAATTGAATCATTTAATTTCAATTATAAAATCATGGCCGTTTAATTTTTTTGTTAGGAGTCCCTCAGTGTTCTGGAGGTGTTTAGCAGAAGCTGAATTATCCTCAGAGGTCTCTTCTTTTAAAATACAAAAACAGAATTGGTAATTAAACCTGGAAAACAAAAACACTGGAAAAGCTGTTTCATGGTAAATACTAATGTTTCTCGGATGCTCTTGGAGCGGATACAGCAAGTCAGGAGGGGCCGTTTGTTCAGCTTGTTAAGAACCAGACGTTCCAATAACTAAATTCCTTCATCTGGTTAAACATTCTAGTTAATGGTTATAGAAAGTGACGGAGACTTGACTTGAAAAATGGAAAAAATTGTTGTTCTTGTTCTGAAAATCTTTCAATGCCCAGCCATCTGACCAGGTTGTTGCTTATAGAAAACTCTTTCTATAAGCAACATCAAGGACCTGGAGGTTAAGCTCAATGCAGCCATCTTATTATCAGCATCCACTGATCAGTATTGACTGAGTGTCTCTTCTTAGGAACAATAATGCCACAGGAGCTGTATTTTCCCTTTTGAACTGTAACTTTGTTTTCAGTTTTTTTAGCCTGAAGGAAGGTAGTGACAGCCCATTGGCAGGGCAGCTAATGTCAGCTTGTTTGGGCTCGATTACACCAGTTCCTCTGCAAAGGTCGAACTCCTGCCTCTGCATCCTGACTGTTTTTTTTCATGTCACATCTCTGTCCCACAAGAATGTAGGCCAGGTGATCTCTTAATACAAGGGCAGACCAGCATTAATCTGGCCTAGAAGCGAAATTGGTTCCTTCCAAAACAAGATTTGTGAAATTCTACTCACACAATAACACCAATATAGCAACCTTGTGTATTGTCTGCTATGAAATAGCTCTTGTAAATACTGCGTGGATTCTGTTTTGAACATGGGGATGCTTTGGAAAAGACTCAGGTGTTAAGTCAAGGACACTGTCATACATAGACGTCTCAATAAACTCAACAACCCCATTTGACGTGCTTCACAGTCCCTTCTGTGTTGAATGTGCCAATGGTATTGTTGTTGGCCAAAGACACAGAGATGGAGGTCGTTTCATCAGGAAATGTTAGCTTGTTCACTCCTTTTCTATCTATTCTGATACAATGAGCAGCTGCTTCCTCTGGTTTTGGTATGTGGGCTGTGGAGAGAGGGTTCACGTGAAGCAGATCTGTAATGTGTATTTATCAGGCAAGTCAAAATTATGGTTGGGTATCGTTTGGGTTTACACCATACAGTTGCTAAATTATTACTTTTAACATTTACCAGAACCAAGATACTTTTGATTGTCGATGGCAGATTAGTTGAAATGAAACATTAACTGTTTGTTGTTAACAGCTAACTGTGGGCTAACTTTAGGGACTACCAGAGCAATGTAGAGTGTGTTTCGCAACCAGAGTTAAGTGAAATGTCGACTAGGTATATGCAGTGCTGTTTATGGTGCTTTTAAGCAGAGCAACAACTTCAGTCTATGGCTCAGGCACTGAAATGGGTGCACCAAAAATCTGCGGGGTGATTCAGTCCGGTAGGTACCGCGTAGGACCTGTGTCATCTCTAATCAGTATATCTATATGTTGCAGATAGAACTCTGTAAATCTAACAATTTACAAGTAATCACTTTTA